GGTGGTGGTGATGATGGTGGTGATGATGGTGGTGATGATGGTGGTGGTGGTGGTGGAGGTGGTGGTGGTGATGGTGGTGGTGGTGGTGAGGTAAAAAGAGAAACTCTCATTGTTCTCACCATCGGTAGGAATGTAAGTGAGTACAGCCATTATAGGAAACAGCGTCAATGTTTCTTTAACAGAAAACCTGGAATAAAAACCCTGTGACCCCGCAGTCTCCAAAGGAACTGAAGCAGTGTGTCACGTACACAGTTACACTTGATGTTCACTGCAGCACTGTTTACGCTAGCCAAGGTGTAGACCAGGGCAGGCAGCAACTGAAATAAACACGGTGTTGTACACATGTAACAGAATATTATGTGTCCATGAAAAACAACAGGATTCTGTCGTTTCTAGTAACATGGGTGACATTGGAGGACACTATGTCCTTTGAGCTAAGTTGACAGGAAGACAAATCTCGTATTTTCTAACTTCTATGCAAAAGTTGATTTCACAGGAAGGAGAGAGGAAGGCTGCAGATAACCAGAGCCTGGGAAGTGGGCAGGGCAGGGGAGGGTGGAAGAGGGGTGGCTGATAGGAACAGGGGTACAGTTGGATAGAAGGTGACTCATGATGTTCTGGCACCCACCTCCTCCTGCAGCAGCAGGTCAGGAGTGGGGGTAGATGGGCATGCCTCGAGAGAGACCTGCTTATTCATAAGACTTGCTCCTGGGACAGGCGTCTCCATGATCCCTTTAAAAACACGGTCCTTTTTGATTGAGTTAGTAATAGAGGTACTAACCCCATGCCCAGGATACTCTGGCCTCTTAAGATTTGCAAAGGCAGGGCTGGAAATCCTGGCTGTGGTTAAGGGTACAACTCCTTTCCCTGTGCTCAGCCTGACCCACAACCATAGGCTTCCCAAAGCCATAGGAACAGCCCCCCCTCCCCATAATAAGCACTGCAGTGCCAGTGGGAACCAGGGAATGAATCCAAACCCATGCTCTGAAGACTGAAGAAGAACACACCACATCCATCCAGGGACTGCAGCACCTTGCATGAATCTAGCGGATTGCAAGCTCTCTAAACAGTGTTACTTTGAATCAGACCAAAGTAGACAATAATGCAAAAGTGTAAGCCCTGTTGATACTGGGGCTAGAGAACTTTCTTTGTAAATAAATTTCAAATTACTTTGACACCAGGGCGAAATGAACAATGTGATGTATTTCTCTCTGCTTTCTCGGAGCCCAGGTATCTTCTTAGCATGGAATCTGGCAGGGAAGAGTTTGGCCATGTTCCTAGCTTTGATGACCATCTGTTGTAGGGGTATCTCACTATTGTCTGGGCCAACCTGAACCCCGAGTATTTGAAGATTAGGGTGGCTGCCTATGCTCGCCACAGCAACTTTGTATGCATGTGTCCCTAAAGGCTTTCTGATTCTAAACTTCGCCTGTGTCTATAGCAAAGAGCAGAGGGAGGTATGTCTGCCCATTTTCACCCAGGCAGAGAGGAGTGAATGGGAAATGAGGAGGACTAGATTCTCCTGGAAACCATGGCAACTGGAGCCAGGCACTAATGCAGACTGAACCGTGATCTCCATAAATGGCCTTTTCTTTCTTATCTCACACCAAAGGGGAAGGCACTATCCTGCACCTCAAGTCCAGAGCGTCAAACTCTTGAAAAATAGTTAGAAATAGTTAAGCAGTTCTAAATGACTCTAAGGCCAATAAGTAAGGAATATGATCGTTTCCCTAAGAGGTTGAAAGGACCTGAAAGGACTTTACAGTTAGTCTTTAGCTTTCCATGGAGTTTCGTTAACTCTGATTAGTTCAAAGGGACTGATGGCTTTGCATGGCTTTTTGAGTAAAAGTAATAGATGCAGGATAAAAAGGGAGAAAGTTTCCTTCTCATGTCTTGTCTACTCCCCTTCCTCCTGTTTCTCTCTCTCTCTCTCTCTCTCTCTCTCTCTCTCTCTCTCTCTCTCTCTCACACACACACACACACACACACACACACACACACACAC